GGAAACATGGCAGGTATGCATACTAAACTCAAAAGTGGCAGATCACAAAAAGATTTCCCTTGCAATTTTGTTGTTTCGTACGCTGGAAAATGACGCACAAATGAGCCTTGCTCATGCAAGGACTACTATGGGTCTTTGCAGTGAGAAAACCACACACACACACACACACACACACACACACACACACACACACACACACACACACACACACACACACACACACACAAGCACACACACACGCACACACACGCACGCATGCACACATGCACGCAAGCGCGCGCACACACACACACACACACACACACACACACACACACACACACACACACACACACACACACGCACGCAAGCACACACGCACGCAAGCGCACACACACACACACACACACACACGCATGCACGCAAGCACACACACACGCACGCACGCACGCACGCACGTGCACACACACACACACATGCACAGAGCCAAACTATCAACAAGACTAGCTATGGATACCGACTCAAAAATGGAACAACAATCGGCCACCTCAGCTACACGGATGACATGAAGCTGTATGTCAAAAGTGCGCGAGACATCGACATTAGCCAAAATGTGTAAGGTAATCACAAGCTCTATTCCTTCTGTGTTTAGTGAAGAACCAGAAAAATGGAATCGACTCACTGATCCATACCACCAGGATCTACAGCGCTGTATCGGACTGGAGAAGTGTGGCCGGATGGTGACAAAGAAAGGGAAGACTGTACACTCCCAGAAGGAACAATAGCAGACAATGAGGACAGCTACAAATACCTTGGTATCCCACAAACAAATGACAACCTTGATAAAGTCACAAGGAAAGGAGCCACAGCCAAATACCTATTAAGTCCTAAGAAGTCAGCTCAATGGCAAGCACAAAATCCAAGCAAAAAACAGCTACACTAAGAGGTCCAAAGGAAGAAATATGGACCACAGATGTTAAGACACGGGAGCTTCTAACCATGCGTGTAGGGTCCAGCACCCTGAGACTGTGCTCTAGCTGTAAGGAAGGAGGTTGAGGACTAGTGAGTGTGAGTTCATAAGTACATCAAAGTTAAGGCACCAACAGATGACGTGCTCCCTAAATGGGTGTACCACCAACAGATAACAGAAGTGGCAAATATCAAGAAATCCTACCAATGGCTGGAAAGAGCTGGGGCCTCATTTATCAAGCTTGCTGACTCACAAAATGGGGTCGGAAAACTGCGTAAGCAACTTTCCATGCAAACTTTGGGATTCATGAAAGAAAACTTAGCAGAAAAATGTGCGCAACTTTAAGTTGACTAAGGACCTGGCTTACGCACATGTTGGACATGGAGAGCACCTGCAGTGCTGCTGCTGAGAAGGATAAAATTATGAAATCCTGCAGCATTATCACTTGTACTGCTTCATGTGTGCACAGAACAAGCCCCCTCACACACACACACACACACACACACACACACACACACACACACACACACACACACACACACACACACACACACACACACACACACACACACACACACACACACACACACACACACACACACACAGCCTGCAGTGCAGAATACGGAATGCTGAATATCAGCAGGGGGGCAGATTGAGACAGAATGTTATGTGTCTGTGACAGAGTGAGCTTGCACCCTGGCTTCTTGGCCAAGGAAGATCTCCGTTTGGCTGACTGGTTAGCTCACGTGACTCTCACCTGAGGGACTGGGGATTGAATCCTGATTGGACCTGTATTTTATATCCGCCACAGATCTCTCTGAAGAATTCACAGCATTGACGGCTTCAGCAACGCTGTGCCACTCTGTGGATTTTCTCTTATTTGTTTTACAAAAACACTTCCTTTCATTTCTCTACCTCACCCACAAGTACCTCAATTTCTGCTTGTAAAATTGCACTTCCTTGATCTGCGGTCGTGGAGCGCTGCAACGAGCCGGCTTTTGTATATGCATGAGATCCACAAGGCACTTTGCATTAATCCTTTAATAGCAGAAAGTGGGCGTGGTGAGGGTGGATGTGACTAAAAAGCAGCTGAGAACCTTTCTCGTTAGTCTCTGATTTATAAAGCAGGGATTGCGTGCAGCTGTGCGTACTCCATGTTTTATAGGCCACAAACCCACTTGGCATAAGTACTTTTTTTTTCTGCTGAGCTTAATTACGGTTTTAGTAAGGATTCTATGCAATGTTTGATAAATGAGACCCCTGATCTGATGGACAGCACAGAGGCACTCATCATGGCGGCACAGGAGCTGCACAAGATGCAGGGAAAGATTACAAGCTCCTAGGGCTCTGGTAGAGGACCCAAGTTTGGAAGGATGAGGCCACCCGCGGAGGGTGAGATGGGAATTTTTTCTATTTATTTATATATGTGTAGCGTACCCAAAGGTCAAGTATTTACATAAAAATGATCAGAAATTAACTTTTAATTTGCAGACACAAGCTGTGTTACACACCCAGGGACGCATTACATCTGTCTGGACTCCAGAAAGGCAATGACCTATGACCTTGCAACTAAATAAGTTAGCCATAATAAGTGCAGGTGTTACAATCTGCTCCTGACTGTGTCTCTCCCCTGCCTTTGATTAGTCCCTATTGGTTTCACCTGCCCCTTGTTTACCTGCCCATGTGTTCCTGATTGTTTCCTTGAGTATTTATACCTCCCGTCTTGTTTGAGTCTTTGTCGGATCATTGTTTGTTGTCTGCGTTGTTTTGTTCTGTTGTTCCCGCTCTGCCATTAAAACCATTTTTATTTTTTTTCGTGCCTCCTGATCTGCTCCACCACACATGGTCCGCCGCCTTCCGCTCCTCAACGTGACAGCAGGAAGACAAAGTCAAGCAGAAGACAAGACTTCTGCACTTTCACTCTGAATAAGGTTCATCTTCCTTGAATCATAAATGATTTTTTTAAAACTTGATAATTGCATAAGTGTCATATAATCATCTCTTGTTTAATTCCAAAGTGTTTGAATGATCTGTGCATTCATCAAGGATGTGTTAAAATGAATATTTTTCCCTGCCATGATTCATTTCAGATCTTAAACTACACCAGATCAATATGTGTTGATTTAACAAGTTAATCTATCAGTATACTCATGCATCACAAGATTAATATTAAGGTTTTAACATTCACTTCTCATAAAAAAAATAAAAAATAAACATTTCCACTTCACACGGAGAATTAACCTCAGAGTGTCTGAGTGAAGGAGTGATTTCTGAGGTATTTTGTTATTGCTCTTTTAAGGTGGATATCTGCCTTAAAAAATTCTGACTTAGACAAATTCCAATTTGTTTAAGTTTCTAAACAAAATTGAATAAAAGCCAGAACACTTCCTGGTCTAGCCAGCCTTCGCAGTTCACTCGATAAGGCCAGTCGGGTGAACAAGCATTCTGAGACCATCCTCTCTTTTGACCCCAAGGTCAAAGCCTCTCTGCAACGCTTGCGAGTGATTTCAGACACATTGGCTTCCTTAAGAGCCACCAAACAGCCTCAGACGCAAAATAGACACTCCAGCAATTAAAAAAGAAAAAAATAATAGACACTCCTGCTTCCTGCCGTCACCTGGAAGATAACCCAGACTAGACGGGTCATTCTCTGACCCGTCCACGGGCTCCGGTACAAGAGGTCCACGCCATTGGCAGTGTCCACCTCGACCTCTTGACCCCCTGGATCACTTGGGGATCTTCAAACAAGGGTGTGTAGACTAGCACAAATTGCGTCGGATGGTTTTATAAAAAAAATTTAGCTTATCAAACCAAACAGACAAATCGATTTTACAACCCAGACACCACAATCTCTCAGATACTTAAGAAAGGTTTTGCTGAAACATCTAGCTCACAACCATCATTTCATTCATACTTTGTCATGTACAATCATTTAGTTTAGAAAAGAAAATTAAAATCATTTGTATAAACTACATTCTTGACTCTGTCTGGATTAATATGAAGTGTGTTCCCTGAATAGAAACAAAAGTCTTCTGATTAAACAGTCAAAGACCAATCAGATTGATGTTTCATATTTATATGGAACATCACACATTATCGATCATTTAAATATGTAGTCAATCCTTAATGCTACATATGTCGTTGGAATTGTTTTCCTGCAAAGCTTCGAATCTGTACCAAACTATTGTTCCCAAACAAATGGTTCTCTTTAACAGAAGGTTTGAGGGCTCGGCTGCTTTCTGGTGAAGGTTTAGGATTCTTGTGGTCACAAGTTTTGTTCTGCACCGTTATGCCGAACACAGTTAGCCTTGCATCATCCTGAGAGCTAAATTATATCTTTCTCAATATCGTTGGTTTATAGGGTGGCAGCCTTGAGGAGCAGGGTGCGCTTGTCGAATTTTCACTAATTCATCTTTTGGACCAACTTAAGGTTAAAAAGAGGCAAGAGCTTGTTGTAGCTGCTCAAGGTTCACGGTTTAATTTCTGTATTGGATTCCTGTTATTTTTACACAATATCACACGCTCAAACCAGAGCAAGAAAGGGGTCATTGAAAATGAATATTTCTGTGAAGCAGACGCTGGCATGCTAGTTATGTAAGAATTTATTTCATGAACATGTTTTATTTTAAATTGGACTGGTTTTACAATTCAAATGCACTTTCTGGATGTCATGTGGATGTCTCTACAACTCCCGGCAGTCATCAGACTCCATAATCTTCTAAAGGTTAAAGCCACAGTTATGTCAAACACCCGCATCAGCAAGGAGCAAATAAAAAGCCATACTGTCTCTGAGCCATTCAGATTACCCTGACACTCGTGCATGCATTATTTCTGCAGATTAAAATGAATTAATGTTTAATTTGTTTATTTATTTGTCAGTCTGGTTTAACATGGCCAAACTTCTTTCTGCGCCAACACTCGCAGAACACCAGATGATCATAATGTTACAGGATCACTGCACCAGGAGCAAAGCTTATCACAGTAATGTATTTTAATGACAATGCGCTCGTGTTTCACACGATATTAAAGGAAAACGCAGGCTAATCGTGCCAAAGTTAAATAATTCTATTGCTGCCCAGCTGGTTTACTCAGAGATGAAATCAGACTTTGAGGCCAACATAAATAAAAAAGAAAGAGATTCTTATTAGATGTTACAGAGTTGAACCAATAGAGTCTTGTGCAACAAAAGCAGGCCTGAAGGTGGTCAGTGGTCTCATCTCTGTTTGTGAGAATAGAAAATGAATACTCTGATTTGAAGATGCTGTCAGCTATAGGGGCAATTTTCAGTTAAAATAAATAAATGCAAATGGTGGATTGATACGTGGAGCTTGTTATTTTTTAGTCAACCCTAGATGGATCTCACCTAATGATAAATAGGAAGTACGATGTATGATTTTTTTTCCCTTGAGTCAAAATGAGACTCATTCATCTCTGCCTCTCATTGGCCAACACTAGGCTTCATTGGATTAGATAGCTCCAGATTAGGATTTAAAATGAGGAGCAGGTTACCGGTTGTTTTCTGATGCTTGTGATGGTAAACATTTGTGTTTGACGCACAAAACATCTGTGTTTTCAGAGGCACCCATCACTGCTGCCTGCTTCTGTCTCACAAGAACACAAACATATACAGTGAGAATTTTCTAAATTAGCAAACAAAGGACAAAGGACTGTCCTCCAAATGGGTTTTGAGGTGGAACGTCTTCAGATAAAACTGCCACATGCTAACCTACAGCCACTGGTAAGAACACAATGAGAGCAGCCTCCACTAAAGAGAATTCAATGAAGCAGTGAAACTAAATAGCTCCATCTCATCTTTCCATTAGAAGGTCTCTGAGTGGCTGTGGGAGAAAACAGGAAGAAAAGAACAAGATTGGGGAAGTGGCTTCTGCTCAGGAGGCAATGTAATCATTTCTCAAATGGAAGGTTGGTGGTTCAATTCAGACTTTCTGACCCCACATGTCGATGTGTCCATGGGCAAGAAACCCTGTCCCAAATCTGTCAGAGAGAGAGAGAGAGAGAGAGAGAGAGAGAGAGAGAGAGAGAGAGAGAGAGAGAGAGAGAGAGAGAGAGAGAGAGAGAGAGAGAGAGAGAGAGAGAGTAATGTCCCAACAACCAAGGACAGAGAGGTATGTAGCTGTTGTCTTATTATAAATGCTATTTATTAGAAGACCAGCTTTATTTATATAACACATTTGATACGCAGAGACAATTCAATGTGCTTTCCATTAGAGAGAATAGAATGAACAATAAAATCAATGTGACAGCACAATTAAAACTAACACATAAATGTACAGGGTGGGCCATTCATATGGATACACCAAGCCCCCATTATTCGGGTCTGAAAATGAAGCCAGTATGGAAGTGAAATAATTTGCAGTTCCACCCTCATCCACTGGGGGCTGGTATCAGAAGCGAGCAAATCCTCATTGACTCCCATTTTAAAAATACCATTTTCACAGCAGAAATAAACATGTTTACAGCCTGGTTCCAAAACATGTTTTAGGTTTAAATTATTTAGTTTACACTCATGACAACTATGAGAGGGGTGAATTTTTTGTCACTCTTCTGTTTAAGTGTATCAAAAGCCTAAAATTCAGTATAATTAATGAGCATCAGACCCACGTGCCCACAGAGCTTGCTCCGGGGAAAGGCCTCAGTCTGAGCCTCGGCCTGGCTTGAAACCTGTTCCGCGATTTTTAGTCTCTCAACTTAGACCATTAGTTGTAGCGTTTGTGCGTTCTTTTTGGATATTATTTGTGCAATTGTTGGACAAAATGACTTGCTGTGGCATTAATTGCACTAATAGAGCTTCCAAGGAGTCTCCACTTCATTTTTTTCGGGAAGTAAAATTATATTTATGTATTTTAGGTCACTGCCGCTCTTGCACTAGCCGAGCTTAGATTTTAACATGTACTGTTTAACCATGAATTTTAAATGTAACAGGGTAAAACCCAGTGCACTTAACAACGCTACACTTTAGAAAATGGGTTGAAATATAACATGTTGGTGGAGCTGGGTTCCGACTATCGGTATGATCTCCCTCCCCTCAGCGGCAGCTCTGCGCATCTCTGATCGCGGTGCCTGTCTACTGCGCGGGCTGCTGGCTTGTAGAACTCTTGGATGGAAACCGATGTTTTCCACCCGTTTCTCCCCAGCGGCAGCTCTGTGCATCTCTGATCGCAGCAGTGCCTGTCTGCTGTGCGGCTGCCGGCTTGTGGAGCTCTCGGGAGACCTCTGTGTTCTATCCGGTTTTACCCAGCAGTCAGCCCGGCGTATCTCTGACTCAGAAGCTCCGGTGTTGTGCACAGTTAACTCCGGTAGTAGCTAGGTAGCTACCTCCGTTAGCTTAGCTCCCACCTCTGTGTTAGCTTTGGGTTAGCTTGTAGCTACATTGCTTCAGTTCGACGGGTGTCGTCATTTAATCCCAGCCTTACAGCCCCACCCTCAGCTCCATCTCTCTTCCCTTTTGGTGGCCATTTTGAAGTCGACCATCTTGGATCCAACTTTTGTTTTGTCAATAGGAAGAGGGTCATGTGACACATCAAACTCATTGGGAATTTCACAAGAAAAACAACATTCATTCAAAGACTGATGAATACAATTTAGATTTTAAAGTTACTAAAGTAGGGGCACATTTGATGTAATAAGGAGCTGTGTGCAAAGTAGCAAAATAAAGCTTCACCCTCTTCTGTTAAAGCTGTAAGATTAATAAACAACAAATTAGGAAATTACTGCCAATTTTTCATATTTTTTATTCATAAATTTCCCAATGACTCAAAATAAGTGTCACTGCCACAATACCGGACTACAATGGTTAGGGTAAAAATTAGCATAAAAAAAAACCAAAACAACAACTTTAATCTTTCGATGAGAGTCATTCTGAAGTGGTACATTGGTCCTTAATGTGAAAGGTGGTTCATATCACCAGGTAACATGGGTCATGATGATTTAACAGGGTACAAATTGTGTCATTTGTACAAGACCTTATGCAAATGTAGGCAAATTTACATTGTGCAAGTAATTGTATTCACATTTGGTTGCTGAAGCTGTTTGTAAAGTTGTGTCAAAACATTTTGTTGAATCTTGGAACCTGAATTCAGACGGTTTCCAAATGCCTGCAATGACTTTCCAACAATTTTGAGGAAAGTGTCATGCAAGCCTTTTGAATTAGTAAAAAAAAAACACACATTCAGTGACATGAGAGGCTCTGGATCTCTGGGATCTTGAGAACTCTATCTGTAAATTGTTGCTTATTGTCTCTATTGCCCTCAGCTGCCAACAAGCACTTTGCTACCACCAGGCAAGTATAAACAGCTCATCAAGGCCAGCTCATGACTGACAGGAAAACTTTAGGCTAACAGTAAAGCTAATATCACTAAACTATTCTACTGTGCAGCATATTCAGCTCCTATTTCCACTAAGCTGCATGCACAGAGGGTGCACATGTCACTCAACACATATAAAATCACACGGCAAGAGCACAACTTGCTTCATGAATAAATTCTTACAGATTTTTTTTCTTTACAGTAAAAATAAACCTGACTCTTACACTGGAACAGAAGTTATTATGCAGTAGCCCCACAGATATATCCCACCATCTGGACAGACGACTGGCCAAGCTCCAGACCGGTTTCTTATAAACATGCATCTATTTTGCATTGTGCTAATACAAATGTACGTGCATATGTATATAACTGGATAGAATGGGACACAGTGTTGCCACTGGATTCACTTTCACATTCAAATGATACGTTTATGAGGAGGCTGATAGGGATTGCTGTTGGGCTTCTACATATTATAAGAATCTAACAGAATGTGTGTCACAAAGGAGGCTTTAAAGAAATTCTCCTGTGAAATATCAATCTTTGGCTTTTATCAACAGACAACTTTAGCATCAGATTGCTTTTCCCCCGGATTACATCCCAGTTGGTTAAAGAGGAATGTATTTGGTTATTTTTGTGCATTACAGAAAGTCATGTATAGCTCCCCGGTTTAACTCATTCACTGCCATTGACCACTAAAGTCGTCAATTGTTTTTTGAATGGGACGGGATTGGGAACGAGCTTACGCACCTTGATAGTAAACATCACACCTCTAAAGTTGATCTTCACCAATCTGTGTCACACGTCACGTGATCTTGAAGCAGACAATCCATGAATTAGGAGATGGGTTTGAGACGCCACTAAGGCGGGTTGGTCAAAATGGCAATGGTGGGAACCTCCCATTTGGAAACAAAACCTTTTAATTCATGCCTGTTAAACACCTAATATTGTGAAATGTTGGATAAATTATTGTACATTTTGAATCCTATTTAAGGAAAAAATAATAATAAAATAAAATAAATAAATAAATAAAATAAAATTAAATTAAATTTCATTTTACCTCAACAGCCTCTCAAACACTGTTTTGAGAACATGTGCCTGTTGTAAGTTTAAAATGATATTTAAACATGTTGTTTGCATCAAAACTAAAACGAGTAAATGATAAAAATCGAACAAAGCTATCTGTCATTATCAGTGGTGATTTTAACATGCTTGTAGAGTAGTAATAAAACACTGGCACAGTGATTTGCATATTTCTGTGTCGGGTTTATTTATTTATTATTTTTATTCAAGCTTCTAAACAACCTGCATCTTTTTTGGAAACAGGGATGTAAAAACATTCAAAACAGGCCATTTAAATCAGCTGTGAAGTGGTGGTCTGTAGCAACAAGGCCTGTGATGAATGATGATTGGAAGTCTTTGATTGGACTGTCAAACCAAGGCTTTCAATCATATAAACACTAAATTGCACTACTTGTTGGGAGACATTATCAAGGCGAGAGTTTTGGTGCCTTATTGGGAACAATCAGAAATATATTGTTGATGGATTCCTGAAGAACAGAGTCAGGACCACGGAATTGGATTCTCAAATCCACTAAGTATAAAAAACTAAACTGGGATTAAGCAGACTGTTATGACTTGTTTATCATTTTTCTGCCTCTGATGATGATGGACGTCTGCACCAACGAACACGCTCTGTTGATAATGTGGCTTTCATATTCATGCCAGTGTGTGTTGTGCTATTTGTTCCAGCTCGTTGTTCACCAAAAGAGGTCATGAAATGCCACAAATCACACAAACGCGCTTTTATAAACAAGTGGTAAAGAAACAGCTGCAGCAGAAGGGGAGAGAGAGGAGCCCTGTGGGGTAGATTTCAGCTGCCATAAGGATCAAGTTGTAAAAGGCAGTCAAACCTCATTATTATAGCAGTCTAGTCATTCATATAAAGCCTCTTTCCTTCCCTCCCCTGGCCTTTAACAGCCTTCACATAGAAGCCTTCCTCTAAAATAAGACTGCTTTGATAGTTTTCATATTTCAGAGGTTACTCGTGTTAGTGTGGAGCACTGCAGCCGTAAAGTCCACAAGGAAAAAAACCCTTACTCGGAGAAATCTGAGTATTGTTACTCTAATGAGCTGTTGTTACCCAACTTTAATCAACGTCCACCGAACCATTGAATCATATTTATATTATTTAATGTTTTTTCCATTTTTGTCTAAGTTTGGGCCGCATGTGTGTGAACACTTATTAGTAAGTAGATGGCTTTCTTTGTCATCTACAATGCGTATCCTCTGAGGATGCTGCAGTGTCGCTATCATAAGCACCACTGTGACGTTTTATTACTGTAGAAACAAAAGTATGACGGAACGCAGTGCTTATAAATCTTATGCATCTAATTGTTGTTGGCTTTGCTTGATTTCCCAGGTGTGAGGAGCAGAGCTGTTGATGAATGAGGGGACATAAATCAGAGAAACACTGAGGTGACATCCCAAAAGAATGCACCGCAGAACATGAGCAACAAGATCGTTTCATGTTGGCTTTCATGTGTTACTGCTACTCTGGGAGCAAAATACAGGAAACCTTTCCTCAAAGAGGGAAATGCAGACATAAAGGGCAACTGTCAACAGACATTTTCTGCCTGAAATGACTTCCTGGTGTTAAATAAACATGAGTGGTTCTGCAGCCATTCTCTATAAACAAGGAAATGATGTAAAATTCTGTTTTCTTCTTCATTTATTCATAAGAAGATAAAAAAATGTAAGAAAGTTGTACCAGTGGTTTGTTAGTGACCAGGTGCTGCTCATCAGTCACTCAGTGAGTGTGACCACCTACAGAGGCAGGTGTTTGAGCAGTTTGATGGTCTGGAGCAAACAGGTGTGGGAGAATACAATGCCAAGGAGGAAGAACAATAGTTTGGTAAAGGTTAAAGGTAATTTCAAAACAAATTGAAGTTCACAATTCTCCACAGAGGAAGTTAATTCACATTTGAGAGAGCTGCCAATCTTACCAGGACTGGACGTCCGAACAAATCCACCCTAAGGTCATACCAAGCAACGCTCAAATATTTAGTAAAAAAATAAAAAATAAAATGAAAAGTTCCATTTCAGACTTTGTAGCCTTCGCTTTATGGGTTAAAGGTCAAGATTGTTGCCAGATCATTTAGAAAAAAAGACAAGAACAAGGACCTTTTCTCTTTAGGAAACACTTTCCCGCATTCTCGCCAGGCCGTGTTGTAGTGCGGTTTCTCCGTCCAAGTTTTTTAAGGTCAGTTTATCCTCATTCTTCAGTGGTTTCTCCTCCTGTTCCCTCCATTAGTGGTTTTTATAAACACCGTGGATCTAACCCTACCAATTTCCCACTAACTCCAGCTGTTTCTGTAGTTTCTGATTCCTCCACCTCACTCAGCATGGCTCTATTAAACACCCGCTCTGTTAACAATAAGTCCTTCCTGCTCATTGATTTGATTCTCTCTAAAAACCTGGATTTTCTGTTTCTGACTGAAGTTTGGCAGCAAACATCTGATTATTCTGCTCTGATTGAACTCTGCCCGAGTGGTTATTCTTTTCTTAGCCAGCCCCGGGGTTCTAGTCGTGGTGGAGGCCGAGTTGTTGTTTTCAGAGACCATCTTCCATGTAGCTCTACAACCTCTGGTCACTTAGCTTCCTTTGAACTGCAGCTGATTAAAGTCAGGCGTAAGGACCCGTTCTACTGTGCTGTGGTCTATCGTCCACCTGGTCCAAACAGCTCTTTCCTTCAGGAGTCTAGTGACTTTCTATCCTCCACTGTGAAGCTGTCCAGACTGGTGATTGTTCTCTCGGACCACTTTGCCATGAATTTCTCCAGCCTCATGGACTCCTTCAGCTTTACCCAGCATGTTTCTGGCCCCACACACACCAGGGGGCACACTCTAGACCTTGTTTTTACCCTGATTCTAAATGCTGACAGTGTTTGTCCTGAGGACGTTTATATTTCAGATCACCATTGCATTTTCTTTAACTTGTCAGTTTCTGCGTCCCCACCTCCTGCTCGCCGTATGGTTAGTTCTCGTTTTCTTAATGAGAGCACAGCTAACAATTTTTCTGCTGCTTTTGATCCACCCTGTTCTTCTGATAACGACCCAGATTCCTTAACTTCTCAGTTTAACAAGCACTGCCTCTCCATTCTGGACAACATCTGTCCTGTCAGAACCAGATCAGTTCCTGCAGTGAACCCTACTCCCTGGTTTAATGACAGCCTTCGCAGCCTGAAGTGCCAATGCAGAAAAATTGAGCGTTTGTGGAAGAAAATCCATCTCCACGTCCATCTGCTGCACCTAAAGGATCTTCTGACATCCTTTAACTCTGCAGTCAGAGAAGCTAGGGTTTCCTATTTTTCCAACCTGGTGTCCCAGAGCAAAGGGAACCCCAAGGTGCTGTTTAACACCATCAGCAGCATCGTCTCTCCTGTCTCTCCTACAGCCTCCATCCACTCTGTTACAGACTGTGAGAACTTTCTGTCTTTCTTTGTGGACAAAGTCAATAAGGTTAGATCTAGCATCTCTCCTTCAGCCTTATTGCTGCCTCTTCCGACTCCAACCAGGACCTTTGCCTGAGCTAACCAAACTAGTTAACTCTATGAAGACCTCTGCATGCCCCCTCGACATCTTACCCTCATCTTTGTTTAAAAGTGCTTTGCTGTCCATCGGTCCCAGCGTGCTCTCTATAATTAATGCTTCTCTGGTTTCTGGTCAGGTCCCTGCTTACTTTAAGAATGCTGTAATCCACCTGCTTCATAAAAAACCAAGTCTTGACCCCTCTCTCCATAGCAGCTTCAGACCCATCTCTAAACTTCCATTCATCTCCAAGATCTTGGAAAAGGTTGTGGCTAAACATCTCACAGCAGCTCTTGATGAACATAACATCTATGATAGCTTACAGTCAGGTTTTCATAGAGCTCATTCTACTGAAACAGCTCTTCTTAGGGTCTCTAATGACCTTCTGACTCACAGTGATGCAGGGGACTGTTCTGTTCTGGTCCTGCTGGACCTGACTGCAGCCTTTGACACTGTTGACCATCACCTGCTACTGGAGAGGCTGAGAGACTGGGTAGGCCTATCATGAACTGCTCTGGAGTGGTTCTCCTCTTATCTTTCTGAGCGCTCCTTTTCTGTGGCCGTCTCCAAGTTTAGGTCCTCCACCACCTCCCTTACCCATGGTGTCCCACAAGGTTCTGCTCTTCCTCCTCTATCTGCTTCCTCTTCAGCACATCCTGAGCTCCTTCAAAGGAATCTCCTACCATCTTTATGCAGATGACATCCAGCTGTACATCTCCAGTAAGCCCCATGAGATGTCTAAGCTGCAGCTGTTACACACCTGCTTAGACTCTATCAAAACCTGGATGGTTGGGAACTTTCTACAGCTGAATGAAGATAAGACTGAGATCCTCATCTGTGCCCCAGACAAGCTGGTTCCCAAGGTCAGATACTCTGGTCAATTTCCTTCTCACACCAAACCCTCCATCAGGAATCTTTGTGTGACCTTTGACCCAGCTCTCACCCTGGATTCTCATGTCAGTTCTCTTGTTCGCTCTTCCTTCTTCCATCTCAGGAACATTGCTAAGCTGAGTCCCATTCTGTCCCGCTCTGAACTTGAGACAGTTATCCACGCCTTCATCTCCTCACGCTTAGACTACTGTAACTCTCTTTTCACGTATCTGAGCAGAACCTCCCTGAACCGTCTACAGGTGGTTCAGAATGCCTGTGCTTGACTTCTGACCAAGTCCTCCAAATACACCCACATCAACCGGCTTCTCCTCCAGCTTAATTGGCTGCCAGTCAACTTCAGGGTTCATTTCAAGATCCTGGTTCTGGTCTATAGGGCCTTACATGGACAAGCACCATCTTACATTGGTGATCTTCTTAGTACCTACACCCCCAGCAGGTCCCTAAGGTCCAGTGATCAAAGCCTACTGGTTGTGCAGCGCACCAGGCTAAAGACCAAAGGTGACAGATCATTTGCTGCTGTGGCCCCCAGACTCTGGAACTCTCTCCCCCTGAGCCTGAGATCAGTGGACTCAGTGGACTCCTTCAAAAAGCAGCTGAAGACTCACTTGTTCAGGCTGGCCTTTTTATGACCATCTTCACCCCTCTCTCTTTATTCTGCTCTCCCCACCTATTCCACCTTCCTCAGGATCCACTGATTTCCCTCTTGTCTATTAACTATCTCTATTTCTTTACATTTTTTAATCACAATTTTCTTTTTTTTTGCTCATCTAAAATATATTTTTAACTATTTTCTAAATTATTTTTTATATTTTTAAATTTTTTGTTTTTGTGAAGCACCTCGTGATTTTTATCTTGTGAGGCGCTATAGAAATGATATTTTCTTCTTCTTGTGCAGCTGCACCAGTGTGCACCACAAGACTGCAGGAAAAATGTCCTTCTGACCAAAGACGTCGCCAGGTTTAACAAAAACCAAGCAGCAAAAACTGGCTGATATCAGCTGTCAGCACGGTGGTGGAAGACTGATGGTGTGGGAGCATTACAGTCAATGTCACTCCTCTGTAGGTTTATAAGTAAGTAAGTAAGTAAGTAAGTAAGTAAGTAAGTAAGTAAGTAAGTAAGTAAGTAAGTAAGTAAGTAAGTAAGTAAGTAAGTAAGTAAGTAAGTAAGTAAGTAAGTAAATAAGTAGGTAGGTAGGTAGGTAGGTAGGTAGGGAGGGAGGGAGGGAGGGAGGGAGGGAGGGAGGTAGGTAGGTAGGTAGGTAGGTAGGTAGGTAGGTAGGGACAGACAGATAGACAGATAGATAGATAGATAGATAGACAGACAGATAGATAGATAGATAGATAGATAGATAGATAGATAGATAGATAGATAGATAGATAGATAGATAGATAGATAGATAGATACCTCTTGCAGCTACAACTAAAATGAAAACATGAATGTTCTTACTTTTTAAACAACTTTCAATCTATGTTCAAGTTTTGAGCGGATAATGAAAAGAAAAGATGAAAGATGGGGAATATATTATGGTACAAATTCATTTTCTTAGAAGTTTTTTCCCCTTTTGTTCTCTTGTTGGAACAATTATGTTTCTTAGAAAAAAGCTTCTTTTTATCGCTCTCCTTGTGCTCTTTGGACCACCCTACTTTCACATGAACAAAGGACAAGGTGGGTTTTATTTCCCCTGCTTGGAGAGCCTTCTGGGACACGTGACGAAGGCAGTAAAGGATTAGCATTCAAATGAATTTTACAGGTGGCATGAGTTGCACAAAAGGTGGAGGAGAAAAGAAATCAGGTGGTGGAAGGAGACTGGACATCTTTTCTCCCCAAACTTTGACAACTGCATTTGAACAGCCGTATACTTCACTGACTCTATTTTAAGCTGATGCTAACTGTTGGGCTTCAACAGCCTGGAACTCATTATTTTTACTTGCTTAAAGGTGATACATGTTGAATCTCCAGATTAAATCAGAAGAGAGAGAGAGAGAGAGAGAGAGAGAGAGAGAGAGAGAGAGAGAGAGAGAGAGAGAGAGAGAGAGAGAGAGAGAGAGAGAGAGAGAGAGAGAGAGAGAGAAGAAAGAAAGAAAGAAAGAAAGAAAGAAAAAAAGAAAGAGTCTACCTTGAGTGTCTCGAGGGCTCGTTTGGTCCGATGTAAGACTGTGGCTCAATCATCTTTGAAGAAGTAATTTTCCTGTCTGCACCATGTGCTGCTAAAG